TCAAATACCAGGGGACCAAACACGTGTTACGAGGAGTCACTAAATCGACTTGCAAGCCGATCAGGAGTGGTAGCCTTAACAAGTTGTTGCTTCAACAACCTCAGATAGCTCTGTTGCAAGTTCGTGAAATCTGTGATTCAGAGGCTGCAGAGGTACAAGCATTACCCTCGCCGGCTTCTCTCTTTTCTCATGTCGCGACCAACACCACGGAGAGAGCTGCTGATCCTGATTTGACGTCTCTCTTGGCCTCATTCGCTGATCTCTTTGACAAACCAGTGGGACTCCCACCATTTCGGGAAGGGTTCGATCACAGAATTCCTCTGGAATCCGGCTCTAACCCCATCAATCTACGTCCCTACCGCTACTCTACCTTACAAAAGGATGCAGTCGATGGCATGATCAAAGAAATGCTTAACCAAGGCATCATTCAGTGCAGCTCAAGTCCCTACGCATCCCCTATTGTCCTAGTGAAGAAGAAGGATGGGACTTGGCGGTTGTGCGTGGACTACAGGGGCCTCAATAAGCAGACGATTAAGGACAAATACCCTATTCCGTTGCTTGAGGATCTGCTGGATGAGCTCGGGGGTGCACGATACTTCTCCAAGTTGGATCTCCGCGCCGGGTTTCATCAGCTCCGGATGTCTCCTGCAGATGTGTACAAGACGGCCTTCAAAACCCACGCAGGACATTTCGAGTTCCTTGTCATGCCGTTCGGGTTATCTAATGCCCCGTGCACCTTCCAGAGCCTGATGAATCACGTGTTTCAGGATGTTGCTCGGAAGTCGGTATTGGTTTTCTTCGACGACATTCTTGTCTACAGTCCAGATTGGGAGCTTCACCTCTTTCATCTCCAAGAGGTCTTCTCGATTCTCCGACTTCAGCAACTCTACCTGAAGCCTTCCAAGTGTACTTTTGGAGCTACGGTTATCGAGTACCTTGGACATTTCATATCTGTTGAGGGAGTGAGTACCTGCCCCAAGAAAGTTCAAGCTGTGGCTCAATGGCCAACTCCGAATTCACAGAAACAGCTTCGCAGTTTTCTTGGTCTCGCCAACTACTACAGGCGTTTCATACAAGGTTATAGTGTGATTGCTCGTCCTCTCACGTCTCTACTTCGCAAGGATGGGTTTACATAGGGTCCCGAGGCAACTGCTGCTTTTGCTACACTGAAAGAAGCACTCACTTCAGCGCCGGTCCTAACCCTTCCTGATTTTGAGAAGACATTCGTGGTGGAGACGGATGCTTCTAACACGGGTATCGGAGCAGTGTTGATGCAGGATAATCATCCCATCTGCTACATAAGTCGTGCTCTTGGTCCTAGGCATCAATCTCTCTCCGTCTACGAAAAAGAGCTCATGGCAGTGGTACACGCGATACAAAGCTGGAGCGCTTACCTCTCCCACAGACCTTTTGTTATTCGCACGGACCAGAAAAGCCTCAAATTCATGGTGGAACAGAAGGCTTCTACTCTCTTCCAATACATGTGGCTCTCTAAGTTGATGGGGTACGACTTCGAGATACAGTATAAGCAGGGCAAGGAGAACGTAGCTGCCGACGCCCTTTCCCGTGTCACCGGCTCACAACTTCTCCAAATCACTCTGTCGCAAGCTCATCAAGGTTTCTACAATTCGCTCAAGCTCCTCTGGCAAACAGATCCGTATCTCAGGAAGGTAGTTTCAGACCTTCAATCTGATCCTTCCTCTCATCCTGCTTACACGTACACCAACGATGAGTTACGACGTCGAGGGAAGCTGGTGGTTGGTAACGATACGGCAGTCAAAACTCACATATTGACTTGGTTGCACGACTCAGCTGTGGGGGGTCATTCGGGCAGAGACAAGACATTGCACCGAGTTAAATCCCTGTTCTATTGGCCAAGGATGAATCTCGAAGTGCAGGCATACATCCGTAACTGCTCCATCTGTCAGAAGAACAAGTACGAGTATGTCGCAAAGCCTGGTCTGCTTCAACCACTGCCTATCCCGGATGGTGTTTGGGAATCAGTCAGCATGGACTTCATCGAGGGCCTTCCCCCTTCTGCTGGTAAACATTGCATACTGGTTGTGGTGGATAGACTGAGCAAGAACGCCCACTTCGTTGCTTTATCTCATCCGTATACGGCAGCTGAGGTGGCGCAACTGTATCTGGATCAGATTTTCAAGTTGCACGGGATGCCTAAGGATATTGTCAGTGACAGAGACCCGACATTCCTCAGCGAAGTGTGGAAGGAGATGTTCCGCGTTCATGGGGTTGAATTGAAGCACTCCACTACCTATCACCCTCAGACCGACGGTCAAACCGAGATAACCAACAAAACTTTGGAGACTTACCTCCGTTGTATGACTGCAGAGACTCCTCACACTTGGAGCAAGTGGTTACCCTTAGCCGAGTGGTGGTACAACACCACTTACCACTCCGCTATTCGTAGCATGCCGTTTGAAATCGTGTATGGTCAACCTCCTCCCACGCACCTCCCTTACTTACCTGGTGAAAGCTCCTCTGTAGCGGTTGATCGGAGCCTGCAGAAGCGCGAAGAGGTCATTACCATGCTGAAGTTTCACCTCCTTCGGGCTCAGAACCGTATGAAACAAGCCGCTGACTCCCACAGATTACCCCGGTCATTTACTACAGGCGACTTCGTGTATCTGAAGTTGCAACCATATCGTCAACATTCCCTCAAGAACCGACAGACACCACACAAGCTCTCTCCACGCTTCTATGGACCTTTCCGTATCGTTGACAGAGTGGGAGCAGTCGCCTACAAGCTCAAGTTGCCGTTCGGAGCCGCGATTCATGACGTTTTCCACGTAAGCCAGCTCAAGCTTTGTCCTAATCCTTCTGCCACTACGTCTGCGCTGCCTCAGTACTGGTTCGATTTGGGCAAGTCCAAGGAACCCGAGTGTGTGTTGGATAAGAAGGTGGTTAAGCGACGCAACACAGCAGCTACTAAGGTGTTGGTTCAATGGAAGGGCGAGACACCAGCTCAGGCTACTTGGGAGTTCTATCAGGATTTCATTGCGAAATACCCTGAGTTTCATCTTTGAGGACAAAGATGTTGTCAAGCGGTTCAAATACGTTTCGGTTTAAAGTTTCATTTTGAATTCTCCGGTTTGTTAACTCCGATTTATGGTCGTATGTTTGACCATTCAGACTTTATGAATGCTGTACGAGTATTTTGGAAAAGAAATCGATCATTATCCTCTCGCTCTTCTCTCCACTCTCTCTCTCTATCTCTGCTGTGTACGCCATTGTCGTCACTCTTCCGGATCCTGATCTTTAAGGTGGCCCTTCTCTTCTTTAAACTGCCTTACAGACTCGATTCAGCCGTGCTTAAGATCCACGGAAGATCTCTAGTCGGTACCTATACATATCGCATTAACCCCGCTGCCTCAATCTGTTTGTGTTGTTGGGTGATTGTGCTAATAAAACCAATTAATTTTGATGAATCCCAGATTCTTAGCGTCGTTTTCATCCCAGAAAATTGGTCGTGGTACTAGCAGCAAGACGGTTCATAAATTCTTTGTCGGTTAAAAAACTTAAAATCCCCTTTGGGCCAATGCACCAGATGAAAATATTGATTGCGCCTTGGAGGTTAGTTTGATTCACCATTGTTATCATCACATAAATACCCTCTTTATTTTTCACCATCAGCAACTTTTTAATGGTGATTTCGATGATGTATTGTTTCTCTGCTCATTGTAGGGTTTGCAGATAAACCTCATCTTATGAATATAAAAAAAAAAATCATATCCGGATTTTGAGACAGACCGGCAGATTGTCGAGAAGATGCAAATGATTAGAATCTTCCTGATGATGGTCACTTGTTGGTATGCATTGTTTTCAGTTTTTGTTGTTGAACAGTGAACACAAAGCATTTGATTCAGGTGCGATGTCTGTTCTTAAGTGGTCGCCTAACATCTCTTTTCTTGTACCTTGCAGAGAATGAAGTATTGAATTTTCAACTCCTTCGAATCTGTCGCACACTCATTAGCAACCTGATAATACATCAAAGTCGAAGGATCATATTCTTGCAGGAGCTTTATGAGTTTTTATCTCTATTATATATTTTACAATTGTGGTAAGCTCTTTGCTCAATCTCAACTTTCTCAATCTCCAGTCAGTAAGGCTTGGTTGTAATATTGTAATTTTGTCGTCATGTAAACATTTTCAGGTGAAGTTGACATTTGAAGGCTCAAGCGTTCTTTTATTTATTATAGAGCATTTGTTTTCGTAGAAAATCAATGTCTTTTCATGTATTTTTTTGCTTTTTCTTAGGCAATACTGAAATATTTATGTAAAAACTAATTTGTTTGATCTGCAATTGCAGGCAAATCCTCCGCATCTGCATTCCAATCTCAAGTTCATCCAGTTATACCGGAGGAAGGCCAAATTTATCCGAGGAAGGTTAACACTTTTGATGCGCCCCGATGAGCGAGTACTGTAAAGAGGAGAAGATTGCCTTGTCTCGGCCAAGACACTAATGATGGAAACCATTTTTCACAAAAGCTTGCGAGGTGCAAGAGCTAGATTATTCAGATAAGCAAATTAAGAAGTTGTGCTGAGTAAGAAGGTAAAATCATACTTCTCTGAAAAATGGTGAGATTATTTAAATAGTTTGCATACTACAGTTATGATATTTTTGGTTAGTTTATGAAAAGTTAACAATCTTAGTGAATGTCTTATGTTTTTTAAGCTTCAGGGATCTCTTATGAGCGCGTCAAGGATCTGGATGGGAGACTAGAATGTAGAAGATGTTAAAGAGATTGCAATCAAGGAAGTTGCGAAACTGTATAACTTTAGATTTGGGAGGCTTGAGAATTAGGAGTAAAGTGCGAATACACATATGAAGAAGCCACAAAAAGTGAAAGGTAAACGTTTTTAGAATCTCAAAAACATTTGTCCTTCATATTTCAGTGAACATAACACAAGTTTTAAGATTGAAGCTTTTAGGATTGAAGCTCTTGAGAAGAAGACACGTGTTACAATCACTGGTACACATATTAAGCCACTTGCGCTTTTGTGCCTAGAAATAAACCTATATACAGAAAGATCAGACAATTACAGTCAACCTACACTAAGTGTTAATGATAAATTAGATCCACTGCCCATAGCAGCTGACTCACCTCTACAAACAAATCCAGTTTTGGGCACTTGACTAGCACCATGCTCGTTATCAGATAGCTTTGGTCTCTTGCTATACAAATCATTGCATCTGAAACAATGGAACTTGGAAGGTAGTTCATCGGAGTTCTCGATCCCAGCACATCTAGTGTGATGCCACACCACACAAATCACATGCCAACATCCTCTCACCATCATCATCCTTTGGGCCACACTTCCAATCAACTTTCCAGTTCTCCACTCCTCTCTCTATGCGGTATCGGAGTAGCCCGTGTTTTGATGAGCATCTCCCATTAACCCGTGTGACCCCATTCGTGTCAACTAAAAACTTGAGGGTAATGGAGTCATCTATAGAGTCGTAACCTAGGAGCTCCTCAACTTCAAACCTCTTGAACATTGCATACACTTCCTGAAAAGCCTTTGCAGCTTCGATTTCAGGTCGGAAACAGTGGCGCTCAAAGGCAAAACCAAAAGTTCAGGTGGAGGGGATGGGCAATCTTTGGACTCATCCGAGAGCTCAACGTGGCACCAGAGGTTGATTCCAAAGGGGTTAAGCTTCCCAAAAAGGTAATCTTTTATGAAGTGCTTACAATCAAGAATCTTTGTTGCTGCATCAATCATTTTATCTCTTGTTGCATGAGACCTGAACTCGGCCATGGTTTGTGGGTTCAATAAAGTGTCATACAAATATCTTAAGTCGCATTTGATTTGCTCCTCTGGTGCATAATTTATGTCTTGATTAGATAAGCGGTGCACATTGTTGACAGGTTCAAGCCTGAAGTTTATACGCAAAGGTTAAGACTACGCACATTGGTGAATCAACACATCCCAAGCACTAAAAAGAAGAAGAAACATTTACCTGTACTCAAAGTCGTTTGAACCAGAATTGCAATGAGAGCAGACAACTTGTGATCCATCATCAGACAAAACCCCCTTCAAAATGCTTGAGACAGTAATCAATCAGCTGTGGAGATGCTTTCTTGCAAACAGACCTTTTGAGAGCCCACCTTGTAACCCAGTTGCCTCGTTGACCTACTGCAGCTTTCAGTATCTTAACCATGGCTTGCTGTACACGTTCTACATCACTCCTAGTCCAAGCACACAGTACAGACGACTTCTTCGTTGTGGGTCTCGATCGGTTCTCACGAATCAGCTGTACCAGAAAGGAAAAAAGGTCTCTCACGGTCACAAGCTCTGAACACGAGAGCGATTGGTAGAAGCCAATAGTGGAATGAAGCTGAGTTCTTGGACCCCTCCCCTGGAACATAAACTCAGAGAGAGGCATCGCAGATAAAGTACTCAGTGCACTCTCGTACACTTCTCTTGTAAGTGCATAGCTCCCGGATTTGAACTCATACCCCCACTCGCTGTACCACGAACAACCTCTAGTCATCCCATGAAGCAACCGGTAATCAATCCCATATTTCCTCGACACGTCCATCACACTCGCCTTCCGAACAGCGAGCGAGGTACAAAGCCTGTCCCAAAAGTCCATAATGGCACGACCAGCTAAAAAACCAGAGCCGCCTTCTCTATCGTTGAGTGACAAGAGGTGTGCGTAACCGTTTGAGTGGATAACACCGTGAAGGAGGTGAGTGGTGTCTTCTAGCTGAGAGAAAACCCAGTCCTCTGTGTCCAGAGCCAAGCTGCACCACTTGCAATTGTTTCCTTCGGACAGGTTTTGTGTATTACCACACCTCGAGCAAGCCTTTTGCAGCCCAATGTTGAGGGTCTTACTGTCTCCTCCTGACCTTATGATGAAGTGGTACCTCTTTCTACACACTGGATTGCTACTCCAACCTTCAAAATAAAAACAAACAGAATTATTTTTCAATCTATGCATGCAGGATTCCTACAGGTAATAGCTTGTTAAAAAAAAAAAAAAATTTTAAAAAAAGTTTTGGGTTTAAAGGGGATTCTAGAAGGTTCTAGATGCGTGTGACTCACCAACGACTTGGCAGTGGTCACAATAAATGGATCTAGAGGATCTGGTTACATCCTCCTCCACGATTTCGAGGGAGAGGAGTCTAGAGGATAGATCTGGACCGTCCGTCGAATCTCCGTGCCTGAGGAGGGTCTTCCACATCATCAGGCTCGAGAAAAGCGTCGAAGCAGGGAAAGTCACGCGCGCGTGGGTTGAGAAGAAGGATCTCACTCCGTCGCGGAACGGCGGAGTGTTGGACGCCCTCATCTCTTCCGCCGGAAAAGTGGAGAAATCGTAGAGATCGGCGGAGATTCTGTTGCTCCGCCTTGCTCTCTTCGCCTTCCGACCGCCTTTCATCACAGCCATGACCGTAACAAGCGTTTATTTTAAATACTAAAGTCGAAACTAAAAATAGAAAAGTCAAGTAAGAGAGATTCGAGATAAATACAGATTTGGATTGGGAGAGAGAGAGAGAGAGAGAGAGAGAGAAGAAGAAGAAGAAAAGGTTTTAGGTGTAGCATTTTGGCGGAGATATTTTCTCTCTTAAAATTTAGGATTAGGGTTTTTGGGGGTATTGACCAAAAGCTTGACCGCTTCTGAAGGAGAAGATGTTTTGTTCTACTCACACAATTTTTGGGAGAAAGATGGTGGGTCCCACTGATTCCGATTTCAAGGCGGTTTTGATTTTCTTTCTTTTTTTCACGCCTTTATTATTATTTTTTTCCCATTTTTTCTCTTTTTTGATTAATTCCTTTTTTAATTTAATAAATTTATAAAATAGCTGTAGCTGCTATATTAGTCCTATCCAATCCCGATCGGTGTGACTCCTAAAAAATCCAAATACTTACCAAAAATCCAGTTTTTGTCATGTATATATATATATGATGAAAAAAATTATATATTTTAAATTTAAGAAATAATGACGTAATTTATATATTTGCCTATTAACTTAATAAATTGATTAATCTCTTCAATAAAAAAGAATTGATTAAGCATGATAAGGACAATTCTTTATTTACTTGATATATAGCTCAATCTTCCTAAATCAAGTTAATTGTCCCATAACTCCAGCATTATCATTTTTATTACTTGGTTAAAAGTATAAAAGGATGTCTTTATTAATAAGTAATCTGTTATAAACCTTCTCTGATCCGTATCTAAAATCCCAACCGTTTATTTTAGCTGTTATGGAAAATTGGAAATTCTACCGATTCAAAATTAATCTCCTTTCTTGATATAAAATATATATATATATATATATAATCTATGCCTTAACAACCAAGGTTCAAAACAAAACCAGAAGAAATTAAATAAAGAGGACCTCTCATAACCAAATTTTCCACACCAAAACAAAAAGTCATATTATCTTGCAGATCTTTTTTTTATTACTGTAACCTTTCCTTATTCATACACTACCAAACTAATTAAGCAAACTTCAATTTAAAATTTAAAAAAAAAACTCAGAAGAAGAAACGAAAATTAGAGAGAGGAGTATCTCCTTCAGCACAAGCTCGGTGTACCCGTGTCATCCGATCAACGGACTTACAAATCCCACTGCAAGACCAATCGAACGACGCTGCACAAACGTTCCCCGCCTGAGCTTTCCACTGACAATCCGGCGGCGTCCCGCAACACATCGACCTCGCGTCCACATGCTCAACCTCTAAACCTAGCAGCCACGCTCCTAACGACACGTCCTCGTTCGCGTACCGGTGCAGTATTCCCCTGCGCGCGTGTCCACCGTAATAAATCCCAAAACCTTTGATGTCAAGAACAAGAAACACATAAACTGCAAAAACTAATTACACTCACTGGTTAGTGGATATATACGCAGCTAAGTCTTTAGAGATTGCGTAAATCTGTCCAGTCGCATGCCTGAAGTACTTGTTCCCTTCTTCTCCGAATTTCCAAAACTCTGGTTCATGATACTTCACTCCCCTACCAAACATTTCAAATCTTTCAACTTTTCTTCAGATATCCAAAATTCTAGTGAATTGTTATAGTAAAGTTGCGTACTTTTGTGAAAGAACAGGACCAGACTTCATGCATCCGATGTAAATCCTCGGTCTTGATTGATATCTCGCAAGTGTTGTAGCAAGCATCCCTAAGTTCACATGAACATCATCGTCCACCTTCACGTAGAACTCTGCATCCCACATTGCAGTCGCTGTTGAGAAGTAGAGCCTTGTCTTTGTCGAGAGCTGGTGATATCCTTCAATGTGTTTTAGCCTCAAGAAATCTTTATGCTCTGAATCTTCTTCATCAATTGCTTTGTCTAATACTCCTCCTGGTGTTGCACTGTGTCCTATCACAAACCTGACAAAAACAGAGAAAACCCCAAACTTTATATGACTTGACTTTTTGGTTATTGTGGGTTTTTAAAGGATTCCTTGTGGCTTACTTCACAACCTTACAACAATGCCTTTATCTTTCTCGATTTTCTTAAGCTTTTCTCCTGTTGGCATCCATGTCTGCCTCACTGAGTCTCGTCTCTTCCTGCTGCTGAAAGCTGTGTTGATGCCTATCACTGCAAAAACTTTCTGCATGCTCTGGTTTTTCGCGGTACGTTCGCTCCAGAACTCGCTGCTTCTCTGGATGGTACGTCCTGCTGCTAACTCCATCTCCAATGTTGACATTGTTCTCTCCAATGCTCTACACATTTTTCATAACGACTCTTAGTGTTTACCCCAATTACGTCAACAAGAAAACAAGAAAGAATAAGACTGTATTACTTTACTGCTTGGTGGGTTTTGGATACTTCTCCTATTATGTCTCTAGATTTGCTTTCTATCAATTTCTGGTACAACAAAAGAGAGACATTTATGATTAGTGAGCATATATTTGAGCAGGTGTTACTTATGTTGCATTGAGTAGAGAAGGGTTTATTACGCGTTTATGTTCATCGCAGTCCTTTTGAATCTCTAATTTTTTGGACAAGTGGTTTGCGAGATGTTGATCCTCTTCTTCAGGCACGTAAGAGCGACTCAAAGTTCGACTCATGAACAGTGAGCCTGCAAGAAAGCTGGCAAGGCACAGCACTATTATTGCTTTCCCTAAAGCAGCTTTGGGTCTCATCTCTTCTGCGCCTCTTTAGTCCTAAATCTGCAGAAACATCATATAAGTTGATCATGAGTATGATGCATTATGATTATACTTCTTTGTGCATTTACATTACATGTCTATATGATCATGGTGTCTGTGTAGACATATGTTGTTATATGCTCATGAGGATGCTAGTAAGATTACATAGTTACATATATGCATACAAATTTCCATTTCTAGTATAATCAATCAACTTCTATGATTAAAAACATGCCATTTGCAGGAGATAAATCCGAGTCAAGAACGTTATGGACTAAAGCTATACATCTAACTCAAAGGTTAGAATAAATCTAACAGAGTTTTTTATAGTAATTTGGCCCCATTTGAATAAAAATTGATAATTTCAAGAAACTAGACTCTTAAGATCAATGGTTTAGAATCATTAACATACCTCTATAAGCGCATGTGAGGCACCAAAGGGAATTTTTGGGGATATGAGAGCTGTCAGATTAGGAAACAAGTTCTGAAAGTTCATGAGATGCTATTTATATAAAATGAAAACAAGAATGCAGTTACAGAACGGCAATGGCGTTGATGTTTTGCTTCTCTCTCTCTCTCTCTCTCAATCTGTCTGTCTTGTCATGCAATGTGTATGTCTCAACTAACTATCTGCACATAGCAGATATTACAAAACTAAAGAAAAACTCATAAAACTCTAATTTCTGTTTGTTTTTGCTTTTCTTTTTCTTGCAACATTTCTGCTTTCACAACACATGACATAAGTTCTAGAAGAGATACCAAAACTAGGCGTGAATGTGGTATAGACTATAGAGATGTAACCTGACGTTACAGCATATGTTAATGCTTGCACAAATGTAACAATTCTCTTCTCAAGTTTCACTATATCCTTTAGAAACATATCTAAATATTTGAAGTAGTCTTGTTCAAACCTAATACGGTTTGTAAAAGCTCTATTTTGGATTTCCAAGTGAAACCAATGCATAAGTCTCTATCAAATTGGGCTGGTCCATCAAGGTTGAAAAACATTCTTGGACCGAGCTTCAAGAACATCTAACAACCTTAAGCAACCCTTTTAGATATGTGTTGTTCAATTAAAAAGTTAGGAAAGAATAATGAACCTATATTGATTGTAGTATTATTTTTTCTTTTTCTTTTCAAAGTCAATGATGATGCTCAAACACACAAAAAAAACTCAAATATCTACTGATGTAGTGGTGAAGACAGTATTATTCATTGAGATTGCTGTATCAATGGAGCAGTGTGTTGTGTGGACCTTCTCTGTCTGCCCGAAGGTTACAACCAATGATGCTTACCTCACTATATCTTTTACATGATGATGTCAATATCTATATGGTTATTGACCATATTTCTCTTCAACTTCAAAAGATGTGTTATAAGTCTATTGAATCATCATTTGGCTCAAAAGTCAAAAACATGTTAAGTGTTTGCATTTGCTGTTGTTTTAAGCAGTTGGTGTTCTTCATCTTTACCTCAAAACTTATATAAGTTATAACAGTGCACAAAGTTGTAAACAATTGGTGATACTAGAAACTTCATTAGTCACATCACAAAACCAACTAGCTTAATACATTATTCATTCCAAAAAAAAAAATCCTTATTGTAAACCTTTTAAACTAACTTATCATCATTACAAACCTCAAAATAGAATTAAAAACAAGAAAAACTCTACCCCGCCACTTCCAAAACATATGATTACAACCGGATTAATAATAAGCATAAAGAATCTAACTATTCAAAAGATTCCATTCTATTATACCTTCCTAAAGGAAACATTCAACAAGATGATCTAACACATAAACTTAGTCAAATTCTTGGCTTCTCCGTCACATTTTCGCCATCCTCTAAATCCTCCAAGCTGTTCACTTCGGCGCTATGATGTGTCGCAGATGGATCAAAAGAATACCATCTTGACCAGAAAAGATAGTTAAAGAAGTTGATGAAACTCAATGAAGCTAATAGCCAGTAAAAGAGATCTAATCTATCTTTGTTTAAGTCGTTATCACCTAACCAACCTTCTCTTGTCCCTGATCCATTACTAGAAGTAACTCTGTTCACGGTCGAGACAAGAACAGAGCTAAGATAGAACCCGAAAGAGTAGGAACAGTAAGTCATTGCGGTGAGAAAAGATTGCATGCTCTGTGAAGACTGTTTGTAGAAAAACTCAACTAATCCAACGGCTGTGAGCATCTCTGATAAACCGAATATCAGAAACTGCGGCGCGATCCAGAAGATCGAGAGCGTTTCGTTCTGTTCCAAGAACGATTCGCGTCTCTTCTTTTCAACCAAAGCGGCTGCAACCATCGAGAAAGACGCTAGGAAGAGCCCTGTGCCGATTCTCTGAAGAGGAGAGATTCCGGAATCGTTGCCCGTGAGTTTTCTTGCGACTGGGACGAAAAACGTTTCGTAGAGTGGCACGAAGAAGATGAGAATGATGTAAGGTATGGCTTGAAGAGAAGCTGGTGGGATTTGGAATGTTTCTGTGATGTGTGTGTCCATGGAGCTTCCTTGCTGAACAGAGAAAGTTTGGAGCTGGGCTAAGATGGTGTTGAAGATGATTGTGCAAGCGAATATTGGTATTACTGATAGCAGAATCTTGACTTGATGGACTTGTTCGATTGTGCAGAGTCTCCATGGACTCTCCATTGCTTTGCCTTGCGTCTTGATGCAAGCCTTGTCAAGAAACCTGCACCGTTTTCTTTTGGCGGTTAGTTAGTTAGTTAATTTTGGCGGTAAAGAGATTAAAAGATAATTTACCTGAACTTATTATTGTGTAGGAGAGGTTTGACACGAACAAGATCCGTTGAAGGTTGATGAAGCATATTTGCGTTTGATGGGCAGATCTGTTTTCGTTTAGTGATCGCTGCTACAAAGACCTGACCGATCGAAGAATGATCAAACTCTGTATATGCTTCAAAATTTATCAAAGGCCAATGTTTGGGTTTTACATATGTAGATTTTTCACATTTAGAAGTCTTTTAAGGGATTTTTTATTTTATTTTTAGAACTAAAATGTGATCTGCATTTTTACCACTAGACCAATTTTTCAGGATGAATATAACCGTAGAATAGTGCACTAATCTGGTTTTCTAATAGGTACCGTATAAAGTGTGAGATTTTGACTGACACCATTTCTTTGTAAAATATTTTGTAAAATTCTTTTGGTAAAAGTTATGAGTTCATATGAAAGAAAAGCATACAAACACACAAAGTTTAAAAACAAGCAATCGATTCCAGATTTACCTGAGCAATTGGTGTAAAAATGCTACCGCGAGGCGGTTTATTTCTGTAAAAGTTAGTTCCAGCAGCAAGACTGATCATCCCGGCGGCCATAACAGCCGCCGAGACGCCAAAACCGATGTCCATACCAGAATGAGTTTGCACCCAAACTAAGAGTGTGAGTGCAATAAGTTGACCCATTGAGAAGGCAAAGTAAGCCGCATTGAAGAAACTCGATAGCTTCCTCAAGTCCTTTCTTTGGAACTGGTCAGCACCGTGAGAAATGATGTTCGGTTTGAGACATCCGCTCCCTAAGGCCACCAAACAGAGTGCTGCGTAGAGAGTAGCCGCCTTGTAACCATTTGCCTCTAAGCACTGTGTTGTGGTGCTCTTCATGTTGCATTCTGGTGGTCTTAGCTGTGGAAGATGAGCTTGGACTGACAATAATATGAACCCCTGATACAAATTAATTTACATGTTTTTTGTCAGCCAAATATTCTTAGATTTGTCAGAGCTTAGAAAACTGCATGCATATTGTGAATCAGAACATGCTTTTAAAATATTCAATGATCTTTATTGAGTTTACATGTTGCCTATATGTATGCATTATGAAGCCGTAAATTTTGTTACTAGCTACACTTTTGTGTTACATTAATTAGTACCCAAAAATATAAACAGAATGTTAACTTATAATATTAAGTAATGAAGACTAAAAAACATATTATAAAACCCATTTGCTTTCCCAAAGAAACCGAAAGTTTCAACAAGAAAAATTGAGTTCATTCACTTTAGTTACAACTTTACGTTAAAGATTTGGACTTGTCTAAAAATACTTTTATCAGCACGTTTTTATCACAAGTTACTAGTTAGAGATGAAAGTGATGTAGAATATTGTAGAATATTCAAGAGCATCTAAAATAGAAATGAGAAAGGCTAAGAGAGCTAGCTAGAGTCTAAAGAGGAAGAGAACATACAGAGATTTCTATGACGCCGAAAACGAGCATGGTACGAAAGCTTCCAAGGTATGAATCAGAGAGGAAACCACCAAGAAGCGAGAGAAGAAACACAGTTCCAATGAAGTTAGTCACGAGGTTTGCGGATTTTGACAAAGGAAAATGCATCTCGTTGAACACGTATGTGATCAAGTTGTTCCCAACAGCCGCAATAGCCATCATCTCAAAGGCTTGTAGGCCTAAACATATGTATACAAAACATAATATATAGTTGGAATTAGCTTAAGTGGACCTAAAATATATGTAACCATGCACTAGTCGATATGTAGAACCAATATAGTGAACGTTAAGGAGAGAAAGAGAGAGAGAGAGAGAGACCTAAAACAAAGAGAGCAGCTCTTGTACCACCATGCTTGCTTGGTCTGCATGGTCGACCTCGCGAATCAACGCAAAGATCCTCCGATGATTCCTCAGAAGTGTTTTGTCCTCTTTTAGATTCTTCAGATAAATCATGAACATCCATAGCTCTTTCTCCTTTTTATTTTATTATAGCAACAGAAGGAAGATATATAAGTTTGGCTTATGAAGAAGTTGGCACAAAACTAAATTTAAGAGGTGGGGAGAGGAGGTACTTATAATGTCTTGTTCATTCATTCCTAAAATACAAGTCATGAGAGAGAAATTAGAAAAATATTATACAATCAAAAACTTTTTCATTGATATTTTAGCATTTTAAAGACTTTTTAGTGTAAAATATTAAAGAAGTATATAATATTTTTAATGAAAATAAATAGTAGAAAAACTAATATCTATCTAGATATATAACTTAGTATCAAAGAGTTATGTAATCTAGTATACAGCTACTAAATGTAAAGAGAAATTATAAGATAGTCGATAAAAAAAAGTTGACAAGGAAGAGAAATTAATTTCAACTCGTGTTTTATCACTTTAACATAATTGATAAAATACAATTAAAACGAAAATTATATATAAGAACTAATTAAATCTTTCTAATATTCATTTAAAAAAAATTCTCAAAACTTGGTATGATCGGATGGATATATCACATGATTAAGTTTACTAAACATCTTAGTGCATTAGGGTAGTGGAAAGAAATGGACCCACTCTCCAATATGTTTAAAATGTATCACCATCATCATTACAAGAAAATTTCACCTTTGGCATTAATTTGTGGCTCTGGGGCATAAACTATTGTTTACTACAATGTTTTCTTGACATTTACGGCTGATCGATATATAGTTGCGATTTGATCATGATGGCAATCTTTGACGAATTTTCCC